TGCGTGGTTGTGAGGGTGAAATGTGAGAGTGAATGGAATGCGGTCAGTGTTTTCTCTATCAGCCGTTTGTGGTGCTTGCTGTCGATCAATTTGTAGGGCACGGTGGTGGCCCGCTTGAACGACAGAACAGGATAGCTACGTTTATCGAAAAACTAGCACATTGCCTCTGATTTTTCGGAAAAATACATAAACGACGAAGTCTGAGAAACTGTGAAAAAGATATGGAATTCTTGACGTGTGATGGATGCGACGATGAACACATGAAGTAAATATGTGGGTTAGTCAATACCACGGCCCCAGACCTGAACTCTACGGCAGTTGTATTGACGACTGCATCGGCGCTACCTCTTCTACCAGAGAGGAGCTATCTCAATTTATAACCGCCGTCAATTCCTTTCACCCGGCTCTTAAATATACATGGGAAATTTCTAACACTTCTTTGGCTTTTCTAGACATCAAAATTTCAATTGAAGGCAACAGTTTAAACACTCGTGTTTACTACAAACCTACAGACTCACATAGTTACTTGTACATCACCATCCCGCATGGGTAAATTGATGGTTCGTATTCGAGTCAGTGCATACTTTCTGCTTAAAAAAGACGATAGGGCATTTTATTATCATAATCTTCTTACAGAGTTAAAAGGACATATGTTAATTACAAAAACTGACGCGTATGCTACAATTGCTCTTTTTCAAGTCTGATCGTTTTTCCGCCCTCACCAAAAAGCACAATCACCTACCACAAGGAAAAAAGTAATTAGTTGGTTAAGGACTTCTGAGGACAGTGAGGGCAACGGTAATAAAACTTTCTAAGTATCATTTTACTCTTCCCTGATTGAATGGACGACTAAGTTGTGAAATATAATGGTGACTTTGACGACATTGAAAGCGGCTTTGAAATATGGAACGACTCAAAAGTCTCACGTGACAACCAGAAAAGGGCAACGGGACGTGGCTGTGCATAACAGGAAGAGATTGCAACAGACGGCTTTGGAAAAACTTTAAACTGATCTGCTTTTATAGAGTTTAACTCTATTCGCTCTGATCAATAGCACCAATTGCATAATTGGCGGCAGAGATCACTTTGACGACCACTTGATCGTTATGTTCAATTCGTTGCAAAATTCAGCTTTCAACTTTTCCAATATTTGACACACACAGAGATAATGCAGATCTGAACATAATGGAGACAATACGTTTCCCTAAAGAGTCACAAGTGTTTTCTTGATTTTTCATAGGCGGTTCTAACCGGACGCAGTTTTGCCAAACTAGTTATAATGCCAGAGTAGCTGAATGAACTTACCAGTATTATGTTGAACAGCATGAAGAACATACTGACTAGGAGTGGTACCAGTTTAGGATGAAAAGAATTGGCCGTTGTTGTGTCTTTGTCATTTGTGCAACTCTCCATGTCTTCTTCTGGATCTTCCTCAAAGTCAAACGGAAATTCATCATCCTCAATTATTGGTAGGTCATCGTCACCTTCCTCCAAAAGATTTTGTTCTCGCTGCCATGATAAAATAGAAGATCGGATTATTTATGAGCCAATGTAAGGGGTCACTCAGTATTTATTCAAGGGGCAAGTCAGTCAAAACAAAAATTACAACTCTATTTTATCTTTTCCATCCTTAGCCATCCCTGTTCCTTTAGGGGTAAATTTTTTTTCCTTTGAAGTTTTTCTATCTTTCTCAGCTAGTATTCCATAGTCTCCCTCAAGTTGTAGGATATTTTCTTTGACCCAAGAATATTATAAGTATTGTTACCTCCCTTCATTAAAAGACGTATCCCTTTTTGCAGGGACGAGAGATTATTTTAAAAGTAGCAGGGCTTAACGACCATTCTTGTATAAAACAAATACGTAAGCCAGATCATCCTTGGTACTTCACAGAAGCTAGGCTGTGGAAATTTTTTTAGTAACTCAAAGATTTTAGAAAATTACGTACCATTAAGTCAAGTATGTTTTCGTCTGTAGACCTTTCTAGCTGTAGTAAGTACATATACTCTTTCTTGCTTACGGAGCGCGAAGCGGATTTTTTTACATGTTCGAGAGCAATTTTATAATATCGTTTGGAGGTTCTTTTAAAATGATCAGTCTTTATTTAGAGATAGTCTGTTTAATTGTGGGGACATAGAAAAGGACATAGCTTCTGGGATAAACTTTTATTTTAAATAACACGAAGGAGGAAAACTAAAAGAGTAGGCTGACAACCTCAGTTTGTTGAACAATAAAAATAAGCGTAATTTCTTTTACCTCAAAAACAGCAATCAATAGCATGGCTGTAATATAACTACTAAAATCTGCCTGAGGTCTTAAAATCGTCTTCCACCAAGATTTGACAAATACTGGAAGATAAAAAAACGAAAACATGACACTAGTTTAACAAAAGAGGCAAAGCACAAAAGGTCGCAAAAAAACGGAATTACAAAGCCAATTGAAACGAAAATATATCATCTGTTGCCAGATCACTTCTAGTATACATTTGTGGAAATTGATTTTGCTTGACCTCTGATATCGGTCAAGGTATTCATTGATTTTAAAACAGTTTTATTGACTTTTAGAGGAAACAACCCAAGAACTTTGCATTATGAAGCCGAAACGGAGCAAAATTAAAATTTCAAATAAACTATATCTAATTTCCCGACAGGAGCGTTAATTTCTGTGACAGTTGTGTACTGGAAGCCTTTGGCCTTAAAGCTAAAGATAATTGATTCTGTTTTGTTGGTATTATCTAACCATCAGTAACAAAATGTGTCGGCAAGAATGCTTACCGCATAAATGACTCTCTGGATTAGACTCGCATCTCCCAAAAAATCCGCATGTTGTCGTTACTAACAAAACTACAGTAACAAACTTTTCAATTCCGTTCATGAAACTTTCAGATGGATTTCAAGACGAATATTCTTGATTTTTGGCTGGAAAAGATGGTGCAACGGCTCACGAGAGCAGTAAGCCTCAACGAATTCCCTGGTATACGTGTTGAGAGGCTATGATGTCATCAAACAGTGTTTATAAACGCAACAAATTGCGCGCGCTGAATCATTGTTGTATGCTAAGGTTTTCCATTTGATTTGGAACTTCCAGGCTTTGCGAAACAGCGTTTTAAGCAGGCTGTGAACAGCTACTCTATATATTACAACTTCTTGCTAATTTACTAGTATAAGACTGACTCAGCACAAGATCAGACTAAACCTAAAATGAACCCAGGCACGTGACTTGTTGTGCTGATGCGAAAGAGTTGTTAATATGACTTCTAAAAATTTATGACAATACCTCTTTTTTGTGGCCTAAATTAAATTTTAGCTCTCTTTAAGAAACGTTTATTTAATCTGAGATTAAAAACGTTACTTTATTCAATTTTCAAGGGTTTCATATAGAATCAAAGTCAACAGACTGATTTTTGTTTACTTGCATATAACGGTCAATAGTATTGTTTTGAGGTGACGGACTTGAAGCTGCTTTTCTTTAATTTTATGACATGAAGTAGATCTGTTTTACAAATGTTAATATTTTATAGTTAATATTTTATTAGAGAACAGTTTTGCGGCATCAGTGTAACGTTAAAATTTATCATGTTGGTATAGAAAGAGATTATATGTAAACAAAAATAACACCAGCTATTTCTCTCACATTTCTATATTTTTTTTCGAGAAATAGCACTTTCAATTCATATGGCAGATTAATTTGTTGTTATGAACATTCTTTCGATGCGTCGTTACCTTTTTTTCTTCCTTCAGAATCTGAACTGCTTTGAGATCGAAATATGAAAAATTCGGCATGCTACAAAAAGGACGTTTTGAAAAAAGTTCATTATCTTTTCTCACACATTTTATACCTCAGTAGGCCTTTAAATTTGATTCATCACATTCAACATCTCCAAAGAATCTTTTTTCAATTACTTTCGACTGAACAAGAGAAGTGGTAAATGAACTTTGGGTAAACAATGAAGTACTGAATAAGTGTTAGCTTAATTAAAACCGAATCCAATTTTTCAGTATTTCAAGAGATTTACCCCATGCGGTCATTTACAGTGAGCTGCAGCTCCAGGTCAGAGAATCAAATTTCCCGTAATATGGTGTGAAATGCAAAACATATTTTTCGATGTGAAAGTTCGATAAATTTTTTTCGACTGCGTAATTTTTTTGTTTACTTAGAAATGAACCTACGCACTTCAAGCCTTACGTACTTAGGTGCTGTGCTTTTGAGTCTTTCTGTCCCGGGACAAGGAATCGCTGACGGTTCGAATGAATTTCCAGTATTGGTTGGTAAGTGGTTCAGTTTAATCTTTATCCGTGCTCACATGTGGATACACCTTTATCTCCACATGGTACCTACAAAAAAACATTAACACCACCCAGAAAATGTTGACTTTTTCTCTCTGGTTTGGTAGATAACTTTCTGGTTCAGGGATGAAAGTGTTGGCTCTAAAACTGAGTATTTTAATGCCATTTCTTCAAAAAACCGTGCCAGAGGACAGGAATATTGAGAGGTGCATAAACGGAGGAAGATTGCATTGTATTATCTTTCAAAAAAAAAATTATCTTTTGAGTAAACGCGAGCGCTGCGAATTGCAGGGTAATTTTGTTTTCTTCCTGATTCAGATTCATGGGACGACTTCATCGTGAGTTACAAGGGACAGAATCTTAGTCTGAGAGATATTTTTCGTCGTCAGAATGTTACTCCCCCGGAAGGAAAGTCGTTTTTCTATAAGGTTAAAAGACAGAAGACTTCGAAACACCAGTCATGTAAAGGCAGATGTTTCAGTGAAGAAAGGAAAAAGGACATGACCTGTTACTGTGACAACGCATGCAAAACGTTTGGAGACTGTTGCCTGGATTTTTACTCGAGGTAACTAAAAGTTAAGAGTCCCTAAATAAACTGGATTTGCCGAGAAAAGTAATAGTTTCGATTAAGAGTCGCTAGTATCCACCGTTGCAAAGTGACAAGAAAACGGTGAAGTTCGTTAAGCGTTCGAATTAGTTTTTTTCTGAGAAAATCTGCATGTTTAACATTATCATTTGTTAGGGTAAAGATCTTCTCTTGATTGACGACAGAAATTATTTATACCTTACGTTTTTTCCGACAGCCAGCTTTCAGTAAGTAACTGAGAATTTTATACTTCGCAAGAGATATTTCAGTTGTACACATGAGACATTTATTTTATTAACCACCCTAGGCGCTTTTAAAATTTTGGACCTTGAGAGTGGGTTCTTATTCCAGATGGGTGCTATTTCAATGTTGGGCTTTTAATCGAATGAAAAAGGTACAAAAGTAACCCCGGTATTTTTTTTAAGTTGATGAGGCGTAATGCAAAGGGTTGGGCTAATGCTCCTCTATATAATATCTTACATCCGTTTCTTAAGGTTTAACACCGTCACTATCGCATTTATTCTCCACAGGATTTACTGCTTCTGATATTACATCCAAGATATTTGTAGAACCTTCCTTTTATCCTTTATTCGCTTTTTTTCCTCTCGCTTTGTAGTAATCCTTTTTTTACTGACGGCGTTTTTAACCGGTCCTCCCTAACCCATCTGGATTTCGAAAGTTAAACATCTTATCTCTCCATACATCGGGATTTTTTTAGCTCGAAAAGTAAATTGTCTACTTTTTTCGAAATTAGCCACATTTCGAGCTGTGGAAGTCATTTCAAATTCAGCGGTATCATAAAATTGGTCCACGGATTTGAATGAACCAAAATCAGACTACTTCTAGCTTTAATTTAGAAAAGCTCATGGCCCGTTTTTCAAAAGTAAAGCTGACATTTTGAGCTCGAAGCCATCACTATAAACCTCTATCGAACGAGAGTAGCTCGCAGATCTTTGCTGAAAAACCATTCCTTTTTTTTTTTTTCCTTTTCTGATATTTCGATATTTCCACTTTCAAAACTATTTAGATTTAGATTTCGAATGTAGACAAAACTGATGAAAAAAATTAGCTAGTTCGGGTCTGGTATCTTCCGTGACTCTTGAGAACTACCGGGGCCCACGGTCGCTTAGGCATCTGTCATTTGAAGTTATCATACAATACGTTGTGGGAGGGAGCGAGTTAGAAGCGTGAGACTAAGGAGAGCCTGATTAAACAATATTAGAATAAAGAGAGCAATTAGACGGAGGTCACTAAAACTTCGTTTGAAAACCGTTTCTTATGTCTTAACAAGCCTTTAACACCTCTTAATATGTCGTCCTCAGGTGCATTCAGAGTAGTAGTAATGCACTACTTCAGGATAAGGAATGTGGAGATGTCAACAGCTATTTATGGTCCGGGGTAATCATGCGATCTACTTGCAGTTCGCAAGAAAATCAGAGCACCAAAGACTGCCATACCCTGACTGTCCAACAGTTAAATATGACTTTACAAAAAGAACTCGCTGTCTCTGCCAAAAATGTAACATATAGAAGCATCGCTTGTGCCAAATGTAATTATGAAGAAAATGCAAGTTTCTGGGCTTTAAGTATTTCGTGCAAAAGTACCACAGGAAATCCACCTGCTCCGAACATCACTGCTTTGACGAAGTTTTTGAAGGAGCACGAAGATTGTTCCTGGAAATACGTACCAACTCACAACCTTACAAGCCATTATAGAAGTTGTGTGGTAAAGGATGCACGCTGCGCTACGAACAAGTCAAACATCTTGCCTATTGTTCGAGAATTGTGTGCTTTGTATTCTATGGTCTTCACAGTTGATGGTAAAAGAAGCTACAGGAATCCTCACTGTGCTTTGTGTAATCAAGAGGGATGGCTAATTCCTCAGAAAAGTAACTCACCTGGGATATCGAATGTAGACCCGCCCTACACACCTCCATTACGAATCCTTCTTGATGTGAGCCCAAACGTAAAATTCACAACCGAATCGAGAGAGAAATCACAACCTACGATCAATACTGAAGCTCCGCGATTTCAAGTTTTCAACATGTCTTCGCAAGTGCTTAACTGTACATCAACTGGCATCAACAACTGCACTTGCCAAGCTTTGATTCTAGCAAATAATCAATCAAGTCGGGCAAGCTTGTCGTCAAACAAAACCCTTGTGACATTGACATCAAGTCGGATTTCATATGACAACGATTTCTTAAGATTGCAGGGAAACGATGTTTCTAATTTGTGCCCAACAGCCCAGCCTGGACCATTAGATGCACTCACGAAATATGAAAATGACAATTTAGTGCTAGTTCACTTCACCTTTGCTGCTATGATTTTGTCCATCGTCTCGCTGTGTTTTCTTCTCGCTGTTTACCTGTCTTTTAAAGAACTGAGAAATCTGCCCGGGAGATGTGTGATCAATCTCTCCGGAGCGTTATTGTGTTATCAAGCATTTTTTCTCAGCGCAAAGAAGTCAACAGAAGTCCCTATCCTCTGTCAAGCAGTGGCCATTTTAATTCATTTCTTCGCTCTTTCCGCATTTTCATGGATGGCCGTTATGGCCTTTGATACAGCAAGTACCTTTACTCCAACAGGTAAGTGAACCCTTTATACGGGGACCGAGAGCAACCCACACCCAGAGGAAATTCCAACCGCTAAGGCCTGGTTGATTGTCAAAGGTGCACTCACTTCATGCTATGTAATTCACCCCAAACGAAGCAAACAATCGCCTCAGAAATTTAATTATTTCAGTATCCCGAAAAGCAACACCCTTATTATACAGACACACAGATGCAATTCACTGTATTCGGTGGGAAACGCACTTACGTGACCACAACTAGTGTCAGCAGGTAATTTAGTGTTAACAACTGAGTTGAAAAGGTAAATTAGCTACCGTAAAGGGTAAAAAAGCTGACGTTTCGAGCGTTAGTCCCACCGACGCAGCACCACAGTTTCTTTAGAAACTTACCCCTTTATTCATAGCTAGTCAACATTCCTTACTTATATTAGCTTTCAAAACAATTACCAAGCTGCCAAATAATAACAACATAACCATACCTTAATGTCATAGTGTATAACAAAAAAAAGGAGGAATCATAAGAAACATTTGAATCGTGAAAACTTACAAAAAAGTCGTTCAAATGCCAAAACATTGTGATCGTCCTGAAATGCTCGTTCACCCATACATGGCACTTTTTCCTTTTCCCTGGTCTTCCTCCACAACCTTTATGCCAATTCGAGTCATACTTGGATTAAAACCGAGGCGAACTGAAATGACAATGCAGATAATTCATAAAGAAAATGTGCCTCATTAAACGGTGTTCCTTTTACTTTAACAAACTAGTGGCTGACACAAGTAGGCAACCATCAGACACCAGAAAGATCTTCATCAAGTATTGCATTCTGGGATGGGGACTTCCTGCTGTAATCGTTGGATTTTGCATTGTGTTGGACCTCACTGGAACTTTCCATGTCGGATACGGTTTGTAAACAAAACATCAGGCCCCGGTTGTTCAAAGGGTGACCAATGCTATCATCTGGATAAATCTCTATCCGGCGGAGAGCGCATTTCGTTCTATTAATTCTATTAATTCTTATCCGCTGGAAAGCGAATTGGATGGTATTATATACGCTCTTTTAATAACTGAACCCTGAAAATTATATCCAAGCTACATGTAAACTCCCAGCTTGACTACTTTACCAACGTTTGATGACGTGCAGTGAAAAAAATCCCCTAGTTCGATAATTTTTGCTCAAACAAGTAGAGATGCAATGACTGTGATAACGAATACATCGGACAGACCAAACGCCAGTTTGGTACACGGTTAAAAGAGCACCAAAAAGCGGTTTTTCTTTGCAAAAAGGAAAATTCAGCTTTATCGGAGCATACTTGCCTAACCAACCATATAATTGGGTGGGATAATTCTAAAATTATCACTACTAATCGGCGTTACCACCAGCGCCTTTGTTTGGAGGCTTGGCACATTAACTCCGCCCACGCTCCTTTAAATCGTGACGATGGCGGTCTGCTTCCTGACGCCTATTTACACCTCGTCAGAAAAAAGGCCGCTAATTAGTGATCATATAAAAGGACCTCTTGTTGCAGCGTTTAGATCACCCCTGATGAAGGCACTAGACAGGAGTGTCGAAACGTTGGGTCTATGAATTGTAACTTCTTCGGTTACATTCATTAAATCTGCAAACCAGTGTAGCTTCAAACTATGTCTGAAGTAGAGAATATATTCGAATCATTCATGAGATAAAATTAAAAGTTCAAACAATTGGCCACAATAACTTTTTCATTCGCATCACGAAATAAGTTGCAATTTACTTTCAGATTTTCTTTCCATAGGAAATTTCCTCTTCTGTTGGATATCAGATAACACAGCCCTGACTGTTGTCATGGTAACGCCTGTAAGCGCTGCTTTGATCTTCAATGTAATCTGCTTCGCAAAAAGCGTGTATGCCATTCGTCATTTACAACAGGTACGCGTATATCATACTGAAGCATGAAGATTTCAGAGAGTATTAAACAGATTCATACAAGGTTCTTGGTTTAAACTACGGTATCTACTGTTCTGAAGCAAGGTGACATAAGAAAACACTACTCTAAAGCCAAGGCTTAAAGCAATTTCCTTACGCTATTTTTCTTTTTTCTTTCACTCAGGCTGCCGCCCTTGCAGCATCTAACAGCTCTAAAGCTTCTCTGATTCTCATCTGCATCAAACTGACCACAGTCATGGGTTTGACATGGATTCTGCAGCTTGCTGCTAAATGGAGACACACAGAGTTCTTACAATATCCCTCCGCTGTATTGAACAGCATGCAAGGTAAACGAGCTGGTTTGAGTTATTTGGATTAACCCGAGCGTAACAGCGAAGCTCCGAATCCCTGTTTCTTCTCAATCCCAGAAAGATCCTGTATTTCTGCAAACTTTCCGTGTCTTCTTTTCTTTTTCGTATCTATTTAAATTTTAGACAATCAAAACCAAAAAACTTGTTTAATTTCGTTGCCCTTATTCTTCCGTAATTTGGAGAAGATTTATTTCAAGGCTTTAACCCGTGAGCAGAAGATTTACTGGGAGGCACCGCAATATTTAATTTGACAATATCTCGTAAAGATAGAATATCATAGCTCCTACGCTCTTATCTTGATTTCATGTGATATAGCTCATTTACAAATACAATGTTTTACAGGGTTATTCATCACTTCGTGTTTTGTTACCACTAAGAAGGTGCGAGGTCTCTTCAAAGAGAGATTCTCTAATCGAAGAAGTCGTTCAGTTGAACCCCAAACAAACTCTGCTCGTGACCAACCTACTGTGGGAATCACTGATGTTGAAAGAGCTGAAGATGCTACTATCGTTCCCAGGGAACAAGGGAGAACAAATTCTCAAAGAAGATAAACCTCTTTTTATGCACATGGAATAGAATGAGACTTTCGGCCTTTCCATTAAAGCTGTAACATAGTGCGTGTAAAACGAACACAGATTATTATGGGATAATTTGGTATGATCAACAGAGTTAATTACGTAAATTGGCTATCGTAAAGAGTTTCAAAGGTGACGTTTCGAGCGTTAGCCCTTCATCAGAGCGTCAGATCATTATGCATCTGAAAACTTTCGGCATATTACTCAAACGAGCTGCTTTACTAAATATGAAGATTTCAAAGCTGCTTAGCTAAAGGTAATTAGCTTACCGTAATACTGGAAGCTAGTATTATCATTGTTTGTATTGTAAATGGTATGACTAGTAGTAATGAAAGTATTGAAAGTACACACGTTTTTTTTTTTTGCTATAGCACGTCTGTTCATTGATAGATCACAGATGCAAATAACTGATATATGTAATCTACTGGTGTACAAACGCACGAAGATCGATTGATGTTATTGCTGTAATAAGTATGTTATCATGATTAAATAGGATTAAAAATCACATACCGGCAAAAACTTGACATAGTAGAAAATTCGGGTAAACAAGTTTCGGTTGATCGAAGGATCGATCTGTGTTGTGCATGTTGCTCAAGTCAACAGGTGTTTGACAAACACTGTATGTACTCTTCCAGTGTAATGAATTTCCATGTTTATGAACGCACGAACATCGATTGATGTTATTGCTGTAATAAGTATGTTATCATGATTAAATAGGATTAAAAATCGTATACCGGCAAAAACTTGACAATGTAGAAAATTCGTGTAAACAAGTTTCGGTTGATCGAAGGATCGATCTGTGTTGTGCATGTTGCTTAAGTCAACAAGTGTTTGATAAACGCTATATGTACTCTTTCAGTGTAATGAATTTCCATGTTTATGATTGTCTGATAATCTGTAAAATCCATTCTCATTTATGAATTGGTTTTAACGTGTCAAAACATCCTTTACGCGGCTAAAAAGGTTTGAATGACCAATTTCTATAATTCATCGAAAAACAAAACAATCATAATCCAAAAGAACTGCTCAGATCTTCTTCGCATATTTGTTCCGAGCTTTCTGTGACGTGCTATGCTTTTGAATGTCAGGATGCAATAAAATCCTTATTTAAGGTTGTCCTCAGGGATGTAATTAATTTTGAGCACAAAATGTAAGTGCCTAATCATTTCAGGTTCTGAGTGTTTTTTTCTTCTTTTGTTTTGTTTTGTTTTGTTTTTTGTTTGTTTGTTGTTTGTTTTTGTTTTTTTTTTAAGCTTTATTTAACATCCTTAAGAAATTAAAGAATTATTTAAGTCACATCTTTTTCCGAGCCATAAATTTAAACATTGATTTTTTTTTCGTTTACTACTGCTGTGTGGGATTATTTTTGGCTTGAAATAACCAAGAAGGTACCTATCACTAAGTAGTTTTCGATTCGTTGTGTAACGATCAAGCACCAACCAAGTTTATACTTCCAAAAGGAGAAAACTTAAGAAAACTGATCCATAATATATTCGATCAAATGTGACTCTTCGACCTCTGGAAGTGCTCCTCGTTATTTACATAAGCTGAGCCTTTTGTTATGTTGAGACAGATAAGGAAACTCTGACAGCTATATTAAAAAAAACTTTAAAAAGCCGAAAAGTAAACACTGAGTCTAAATTTTTTAATGAAAACTGTCAAAGCAAGCTGGGTTTTTTTTTAATTAATTATTTTTGTGAATTTAACACAGATCAAGATGACGAGTTTAAATCTTAGAAATATACATTTTTTTTCGGAAAACATCCCATTGAAGATTATCTTATCACATCATCGTTATTATCTTTGGAGGAACAATTAAGTCTCTGATCTTTCAATTTTCCCCCTTTTAGTTGACAGTATGTTTTACTATCAGCAAGTGGTGTGGAAAAGGCAGGTCTTTTAAGGTTTAACGGGGGCCATATATTAATGCAATTCCTAAATTAACAATTTTTCCAAATTCAAAACAATCAGATTCGTGTCAGGATGAGCAATCGATCTCCTTTATGGATTTTGACTAACGCTCGCTACTTTATTTGCTTACATCATGAAGAGCTTTTTACGAATGCATCTCGAAACCGTTATAGCACAGGTCAAAAGATGGAATATTGATTTTTTTTTTAATTTTGAAAATTAAAATAGCATTTGTACAGCATTTTTGTTTTTTTTAAAATAATTAAGCAATTGTGAAAAGGGGGTTTCTCTACGTCTTTGCATTTCGTTGATTGTCAAAAGGTTTTAGCCGATAAATTTTAAAGCTTAGTTAATTAACAAGCTGTTCAGCTGCTTTTTACAGGAATAAAAGTTCTTGTTATATTTGCTATTTAGGTGTCAAAGCTCTGAACTGTATTTGCATTCTTAAAACTTGAAGTTTTTCTTGTGACAAATCGATCACGTTTACAGAAGGCGGCACGGTAGAAAAAAAATCTTGTCCTTCTGTAAAATTTGCGGATCGTGTTTAAAATATTCGTCGCTCTTAAAATGTGACTCTTTATTAGTCTTTTTACACTTTCACATAAAGAAAAGGATATGGAATCACTTGGCCGGAAAAAGGTCATCGATAAAGAGAGAAAACCGGACAGCAGTGAGACATGAGATAATTGTTGGCTTTATTAGTAACGACTTCAAGACGTTTTCATTTCAAAGCGGTTTTTTTCTTTTCATCAAGTCCTTCATAATGAACTATCGCTCGTAATCACATACATTCGCGTAAAAAGGGGAGGCGAGATGTGACACAAACATAAGAATTTCATTCATGGTCTAAGTAAGATTCTGTTTGGTTCATTGACTTTAAATGACCCTATGATCATGCATTCGAGAGTCTCTGGTCGAATATCAACTTTTATTATTGCCACGGCGCTGTCGAGTCTTTTCTTGCCAGCAATGGCCCAGGAAAATGATGAACATAACACCGAATCTAGAGCAACAGATGTGAAAAACAACTCTAGGGAATTTCCAAAGCCAGTTGGTATGTGCAATGCGTTTGTTCTTTATTTTGTTTATAGGTAACTCAATCGACGGGCTGAAAGAAGCGATGACCATTAAGGCTTTGACAAATTAATTTGCTTTTCCTTAATTGGATTTAGAATACCAAGATTCTTTTTTTTTGGGACGCTTTAAAAATGAAAGTAAAAGTTTGAAAAATGGGAAAATTTTCTTGACAGGTATGAGTGTGCACAAATTTTTTTTGGTTTTTTATTATTATCACCTATTTCTTTAACTTTTCATTTTTCCTTAGCAAAATCCCAAACTAAGAACAAAGATATCAGATGTAAAATTCTCGTTTTCTCCTCTAGATGAATAAACACTATCTTCGAAGGAGTTACTGACACTGTAAGAGTAAGTGCCGCCAATTACCGTGTTGATTTTTTTCCTCTCTGATTCAGATTCAAGCGAAGATGACTTTGTTGTGAAGTTTAAGGGTGAAGTTATTAGTTTGAGAAATATTTCCAAACTTCTCCATCAGCAAAACATCACTCTACCAAACGAAAAGGAGTTTTTCAGAGTAATACTTCAACAGAAGAATTCCACAGCACAGTCATGTAGAGGCAGATGTTATGTTGGAGAAAGACAACAGTGTAAGAAATGTTATTGTGATAAGGTTTGCGAAACATTTGGGGACTGTTGCTTTGATTTTTACTCGAGGTAAGACTCACTGAATTGAATTCATAATTTGTTTGTAGTGCGATTAAGATATGAAAATTCGTAGAATGAAGAGATTAACTTTAAGCCTTGTTAGATGCTATTACTTGGAGCAAAGTTACAATAGTGCTACAGGAAAAGTATTCCGTTAGGTCGTTATCATGCTCTCGTTCTTGGTGCCCCTGTAGAAGCAAACTGTGCGAGCAAGCAAAGGAACAAATACAAATCAAAAAAGGGTATGGGCTCTCTATCAAATAAAGGAGTTAATAAAAAACTGGTGAGCCAAATTACATGAAATTAATGAAACCATTAGCTTCGTAAACATACAACTGACGAAAAATACTTTCCTATTATAGAGAGAAAATCCATGTAGAAAAATTAATTAGGATGTGTATGAACATGAGTAATGAATGACAGATCATGAAAATAAATGATGACAAGTGAAAGAGGGCAACGCAGAATCGCAAATGCGCTTGCCAACCGAAATTTTAGTTAAACTCAATATAAAATTGCCAGGTTAAAAAGAGAGTTGACACCAATTTTTTTCCTCAAAACTCCAACAGACAGCGATGAGTCGGTCACTGCGTAACCGAATTCTGGACTTAAAAAGATCAATTTATAGCGCAGTTTGATCTTAATAGAAACTAGCTATCCCATAAGGCGTCAGTGCACAATGATTCCTTTTTAGTTTTTTCACAAACCTAAAAACTACACTTTTTTCGGTAGGTGTCGTAAAATTTCAAGTTCTTTCTTTCCGGCGAACGTAGAATGTGGGAAAGTTGGCAGTTCATCTTGGTCATGTGGAATAGTCATGAGATCTACATGTGATTCACGTGTCAGTGCGAGTACAAAAGACTGTCATCGTATCCAAAGGTTGAATTTCACGCCATATAAAGAACTACCAGTGTATAGCTGGAAACACAATCTAACTTACAGAAGCATTGCCTGTGCGAGGTGTAACAAAGAAAAAAACACGTCGTTTTGGGGTCTCGACATCTCATGTAAATTTACCTCCGGAAAAGGACCTGATCCAAACATCACCATTATTAAGAAGTTTCTGAAGGGACACAGCGACTGCTCATGGAAATATTCACCAACGCAAGCCATTGAAAAGTACCAACAGTTTTGTGTCATTCATGATTCATCATGTTCTTCTAAAGAGCTGAGAATGCCATCTGCAGTCAGACAATTGTGTGCGCTGTACGCCATGACTTTTACAGTTGAGAATGGACAAGGACGGCGCGAGTATAGAAATCCCCATTGTGCATTTTGTAATACCGAGGGAAGACTGAATACCGCTGAAAAACCAATACCTCCGATAGTGCCTCCATTGAACATCCTTCTAGACGTAAGCAAAAATATAGAGGAACCAGCTGCACCAAAACCTGTTCATCCAACAAACCCAGCTGAGACTCGAACAGTGAGCCATAATATTTCACTACAGGTTCTTAACTGCAGCTTAAAATTGGATAATTGTACAGTTATCTTTAGAAATAAAACATGTCGGGTCTTCTATCCTGTGAAAAACCAATCAAATCAAACGATATATCCTTGGAACAAAAGTTTCACGATGGTGACGAATCAATCTTCGTACGACGAAACTAATTTTCATATTTTGTGTCCAGATCATCCGACCAGAAAGAATGAATGGTACAGCGAAAGTTCAGCTCTCTTCCTCATCACATTTACTGGCATGCTTTTTTCCATATTCTCGCTCTGTTTGCTACTCATAGTCTACGTATCCTTCAAGGACCTTAAAAACCTTCCCGGACGATGTGTCATCAGTCTCTCTGCCGCGTTGCTGTTATATCAAATAACATTTCTCAGTGCTAAAAAATCAACAGAGGTTGATGTTCTTTGCAAAGCAGTCGCCATTTTACTCCACTTTTTTATTCTCTCTACATTTGCATGGATGAGTATTATGGCCTTTGATGCGGCAAATACGTTTTCCATCAAAGGTAGGTGACCGCAAAACAATACCGTCAGCGTGTTTCCATGAAAACTGCAAAAACAATGATAATAACTCACGCTTATCTTATCAATAAAGTACTCAAAGTTACTGACAATTAACCTTTTCAGGACTGGCCTGAAATAGACCATAGACTGCAACTTACTCGCGGCCTCAAACCATATATGACGTGCAGTCTTTTATTGTTAATAAAGGCAAAACCAAATACGCTCCACGGTTTTATGCCAATGGCGAATTTTTCATTTATGGAATCAATGATTTCACAATGATAGCCAGCAGTAATTATGCTTTATCTTTATTTTTATCACACAGTGACTGTCAGGAGAAGACAACCATCAGACACAAGAAAAATCTTCATCAAATATTGCATAGTGGGATGGGGACTTCCTGCAGTAATCGTTGGTTTATGTTCTGTGCTGGACCACACCGGAACCTTCCATATCGGATACGGTTTGTAGGAAGGCGCAATTAAATTGATATGTTTTGAAATGGCGAGTTTAAAAATCGATTCTTACTATCCTAGTTGACCTCGCACAGTCAATAATAATCATAACCATGATCTCTTTCAAAACTATTAAAAGAGCTACACAAAATTCTACTGGAAATATCAAAAGAAATACTGATTTAAGGACATGACCCTTTGCATTCTGTGTCTACTCATTTCCCAATTTTTTTTCCAAAGACCGCGCCAGGACTAAATTTTCTCTTTGATTTTTTTTTCAAAGGAAATTTGGTTTATTGCTGGATATCCGATTCAAAAGCGTTGACTTTTGCTATGGTTATTCCTGTTAGCGCCACCTTGGTTTTCAATATAGTATGCTTCACCAAAAACATTTATGTCATTCATCACTTGCAGATGGTATGTATACTGTACTGTAAAACTTGGCAGTTCTACTGATAGACACTCTTAACTATGTCGGAAGACATTCGAAGAATGGAACGCAGCTCGTGGCATAGAACACCAAAGCCAGTCATACTGAAAAGGACTATTTTTTTTCATAATGGCTTCAAATGTACCAAGATATATAGCAAAAGAAAAGTTACCGTTAATATACAGATCATGATATGAGATCAATTTGGTTTTCTAACTATTTCAGATGCCACGACGCAATTTTTAGCGCGGCGGTGTTCCAGGTTTAGGTCCCGACTGGGATTATTTTATTGTGTTCTTGAGCAAGACGTTTTACTTTCATAATGCCTCTCCTCACCATAGGTATTCATGATGACCAGCATAATTTCATGGGGAACTGACGAATTTCTGGGTGTAACTCGCGATAAAAAAAGGGTAATTTAGCATTATTAACTGAGTTAATAACGTAAACTGGCCACCGAAAAAGAGTTTCAAAGCTGGCGTTTCGAGCGTTAACCCTCCATCATTCGCTCTGACAAAGAGCTAATGCTTCAAATTTCAGCTTTGAAACGGTGGCCAGCTAGCGTTATCAACTCCGTTGATAATACTAAATTACCCTGTTATACTTTTCCACCGACGCAGCACCACAATTTCTTTAGAAACTTACCCCTTCGCGATAAAATAGTTTCCCTTTAAAGCAAAGTGGAACCAGCCTAAATTTATGTCTTTACATGGTGCAAGCTTTTTAAAAGGATTGATATTCAGCCTTTTCCTCTGTACAGGCTGCCAACATGGCAGTATCGAACCGCTCTAACGCGTCTTTGACCCTCATCTGCGTCAAACTGACCACAGTCATGGGTCTGACTTGGATTCTGGAGCTTGCTGCCAACTGGAAGCAAACGAACTTCCTGCGTTACCCATCTACTGTGTTAAACAGCTTACAAGGTATTGAAGCTTGACACTCATAGAATGGCGTGGCTGAAGGCTTAACCCTTTAACACCCAGGATCTGATTGTTCATTCTCCCCTCTACCTGCTACATATTTCCTTGTAAATCAGTTATGAGAACGTGGTGTTAGATCAAGATAACAACTTCTACCTGATCAGTTTGAATATTCTTATTACCCGTTTGCTGGATAATGTGAGGATGTTGTGGGGAGAAGTTTCATGTTGATCACTTCTGGGAATGAAAGGGTTAACGGGGGTTCATTTGACTCTCCTCTTTCTAAAGGAAGTGATACTTCATGATGATAAAAAGCTACCTAGTTTTTCCTTCAAAGCCATTACGACACAAGAGTTGGATTCTCCACTTGAAAAATCATATTCTATATAAGTCTCTAAGGTAATGTGAAATGAATAAAATATCAAAAATTAAATTGTTCCATGTGAAAGTTATATTATAGAAAGCTCCTCTTTCTTTTAAAAATTCATCATAGCCTCGATGTTGAGTCAGTTCATTTCGATAATTTCTTTGTTTCGATTTCTTTCGCTTTACATCTTCACAGGATTTTTCATCACGTTGTGTTTTGTTACCACTAAAAAAGTCCGAGGTCTGGTCAGGGAAAGATTTTCCAAACGAAGAAATGAAGTAGTTAAAGTGCAAGCAAGCTCCTCTCGTGACCATCGTACAGGATTTACTAATGTTGAAAGAGCTTCAGGTTCATCCCCTGTTTCCTCACGACGAGGGATGCAAAACTATGCTTACAGTGTCTCTTGTGTCTGAATCCATCCATTTTCTTTTGTATCTGAAAGAAATTCGTTAGCGCTAGTCGAAGAAAGCAAAACTATTTTAGTTTTAGGCAAATGAAGGTACTACGATCTTTTGGATTTGATGACTATAGAGATCAAAGACCTTGTAACAAATGGACGCTTTGTGGAGCAAAGGAACAGAGGAACAGTTTGAGCAGACCTTTTGTAGCTACTGGTATTTGATGAGCAAACAACAGGATGAGTTTATGATGAAAATGGAATTGAAATAGTGACCTACGTATTAAAACGATGGAATAACAATTATTTACAGGAGTAATTGTTTTACATGTGAGTCTTCAAGTATAAAAGAGAAACAATGAAACAGAAATTCCTCACTAACCTGTCCTCAAGAAACAAGTTTCTTGTAACAAGCGTACTTAATATTACTTTTCACATTTTTTCTATCAGGGGTGTTTTCTCAATAAACTGGTTCATTTTGAAGTAAACACTGGACGAAAAATTGAGGAATTGAGTTAATCCCTGCGCTGTATTGGATAAACCTTTAATATGGAGTCTTTTCAACACAGTTTTCACGTGATAAAATTGATTCACCAAGACGTTTACCATACTTTCGAGTCAGCTAAAGACACAAATCCACAAAGAGCGGTCATGGCCACAGTCTCTTCTTCGCAAAGCTGAAAAGTCCCCGTCTTCTAAGTGTAGAGATTTCGTAACACGATACTTCGGATTAGGGGTAAAAAGTAGGGTAGGACTGGAGATCACATGCCATGAAACCCATGAATCTTTTCAGCTTTGTTGCAAAATAAATTTTGAGTTTCGTTTCCTCTTTCGCTTCTCCTCTCTGCCTGCGCTAAGAAGAACATTCTGAAATCTGTTTTTCTTCGTAGAAACGGCATTTCAGTTTCATTTTCCTGCTGAATTTTTCCTTAGTGGGAGTGAAAATTGACTGACAGTCCCACCGGCTAACCGCGTGAATCCGCGCAAATCTGCGTGTATTGTGCAGGGTAGTGTCGGACGAAAACACTGGGAACAAGCTAGAGATAAATTCATAAAACATGGCGGCGTAAACATCGGACGATGGAGTTAACTGCCTTTTTTTACACCAAAAGAGGCCCATAAACGGCTCCTTATGTATAACTTGTATTTCTTTTATGTAAAAAATTATACCACATTTGATAGTCACATCAACTGCTAGAGGTAAGCAATATTTTTAAAAAAATTATTTCACGACCATTTTTCCGCAATAATATACGGTTTCTGTTATTTTAAATTGCAATTTGATTTGAGTGCGTCATCACCATCTTGATTTAGTTTCAGTGAGGCATTTCTCTTTTTTTCGTTTTTGTCCACAAATTCCTGCTTGCCTGATGACGAAACTCCTTTCCAGCCACTTATAAATGCTAAAGGGTACTTTGATTTGAAACAGGGCATTGCTCTTGCATAGTTTGGGTGCCTCACCAACTAAATTTTGACCTACAGTGTGCATGTAGATCGGAAGTAACTCACACTGGAGATAGGCTGGCAGATTACTTCAATCAATTATTTCATCCTCCATTCAGAGAAGGTACCAAATTCTGCTTCATGTGAAGGATTTGAAAATGATGCTCATTGTTTGCATGGTTTCCACTGTACATTATAATTATGTTGGTTGAGGGTATTCTTAATGCCGTATAAATCATAGAATTCTCTTGTTACTTCGTCAAGCAGTTCCTGTACATTCACAAACGAACATGGTATTTAACAGTATTTGCTCTCTGGGACCAATAACTACTGTTCTTTACTGTTATTTATACTAAATAGGGTCCACATTGAGAAGGGTTTTTTGTATAATAGGAATTCTGCTCAGATATACAAACTGTCTATAATAAAGATTTCTCAGTGAGAGGTCCAGTTCAACCATATGCACATGATGTATAATGCTATTGCATATGTGAGCAGTACTGTTGCCACATACAACAGTTAGTTTATAAATTTAACTTGAGAGAGGACATCAGCCATCACTGAGAACTCATGAAGAAAATCTAACACAAATAAATGTTTTATTTTTCTATAGGTGGTACAAAAAGTACAATGTACAGTTAAAGTGAATTAACATCTTAAGCAATTTTTTTCTACAATGGAACTTTGTTACTTGAGGTAAGAAAACTGACACTTAGTGCTTTAAAAGGATAAAAAATTTTAAAAAAATGATTGCAGACTTGTGGCAGATAAAATGTTAAGTGACAGAGTATCAAATTGACTGACTAACTGACTGACCTATCAACTTAGTGAAAGGCTTACTAACTAACCGCCTGACCAACTACTTAAGGGATGGCCTGACTAAGGGACAGATGGACTGGCCATTTGACAGCTAGTATACTGACAGGCTGTGCTCACTGTAGGTGATTGATTGCTGGACAGAATGTTAGACTAGATTGCTGACTGACCAATTAACTGACAAACTAATTGATTGATGGCCTGACTTGGTGTTGGACCAACAACTGGTGGGCTTACAAATGATCAACTACCAATCTTGATGATGTGCTGACTTTCTGAATGACTCATTGGCTGACTGGCTGATAGAAGGAGTGACTGATTGACTGAGTGACTGATAAATCAGTAAACCAACTGCCTAATGATATGTGTTATTAATCATACTGTAAATTGGATTTGTAGGGGTATGTGGCCACAGGGTGGCCCTTCTTCCAAAAGTTTTGCTTAATTACAGTGATGCTCAAGTTAGAACAAAGTATTATATTTTTCACCATAACCAAATTCACCATGGCCAGATTGTTTGTGGAAGGGGGGGGGGGATCACTGCACTCCTTTTTGAGTAACTAGCATGTAAAGTTAAGAGTAATGCTATGGAAATTGGTCACAAAAATGTTGAGAAATAGCTGAATATTTTTAGGTATCATGTTCAAGGGAACACTCAAAAAAGTGCAGATAGTATATTTCATCAAATATATTTGAGTTTAAAAATAATGAAACCATGTTAAGCCACCTTAGCTTGAAATAAAAATCAAATGAATATAAAAATACCATAAAATTTAATGAGTTTTGCTTGGTAATCATTTCTTTTAATTCCACTTATCAAATCCCATAACTCCTAAGAGTGATTAGCATCTAATATCTCTGTACAGTATCACTCATTTATCACACGTTAAGTTCAAAAGAATAAAGGAAATGATCACCAACTAAAGAAGCTCTTGATTGTTAAACAAATTCTCCTTGTCAGGGCCCCAGGAAATGTATGGAGAACAGTATGGAGAATATGCATACTGATGTTAGGGTGATAAAGGGTAAGGGGCTGTTTTAAAATCTGGTGCTTGTAGTTGTACTCGCAACGGAGCAATTAGACCTATCAGAAGACATAACTTAAGTACTGCAGTAATTTACAGCAAAAACTGAATTCAAATTTGATAACAGCAGGTCATGTGGGCTGTGAGATTAATATACCGATTGCGAGTACTAAAAAGTAGATGGCCAAAACTTTTCTGTCCTTGTCTCAGCTATCACGGAGCTTCACGACGCTAACTTACATATTAGTTCTTGTGGCAAACATTCCTTTCAATCATTTCTTTTAGGACTGGCTGGCCTCCGTTTCATTCCAAACGAGATGGAAGCTTGGAGAAGAGAAGCTTTTTGCAGACGGGAAAGAAAAAATGAAAAAGATTCGGAAGAAATCGTACGCGATTTGCGATAACTTTTGTCACTTTACCCTTTTAATTATTAAAAGAGTACTTTTGAAATGAACTTGAACACAGTTATTGCTGGGCACATTGAAAAACTATCTGTAAGGAAAATTGGTCCCCAAAAATGAGGAACTGAAGAATGTTCCCCAATAACGCCCCCTGTATGGTCCTATTTCATTGGGTGTCCTGAGGAGCAACAACGTCCAGTAAAACAAAGTGGAAAGTCGCTATTAGCAAATGAAACTGAAAATGGAAACACGTGTAACTGCCTGAGGCGTGGAAAAACGCAAAAGATACAGTTGCGTTCGGTTTTAGTCCAGCATTTCATTGGGTGACAGGGTGGCGCCAGCTTTCCAGACAATCTCAGAGTGAGATTATGCAAAACAAATGCAATCTGAGATTATTTTGGACGCTCAGTTACAAACTTTCTTGATGCTTTCCTGTGATTCAAATTGTATCCCACTCTGCCTTCGTAACAAAGCCGTGTTCAACATTTCCAAAGCCTCTGTTTCAAAACGAGGGTAAGAGCTGAAAACTCTTTCAACCTCAGCGGTGCCAATTCTTTTTTACTCGGAAGGAAAAATGTCTAGTCGTTCTTTGTTCTCTTCCACCCTAAATATGGATTTCAGATTCCATTCCAAAATCAGAGTGATCGGCTCTCTTTTCTAATCTGGTGTAGGTTACTTTCCAAACACAACTTTCCTTAAAGAATGATTCGAAAATTTCCCTCTACACTTATCGGTTTCAAATAATGATACTAATCAACTTGTTGGAGTGAAAAAACGCTAATAATGGCGTTCCAAAACTCTGCATTATAGGCTAACCATCATATCACATTGAGATACAGCGATGAGAAAACTTTCGACCACATCGCCTGACGAAGATTACCGTGTAACAATGGCAGTATAAATTTCTCGATCTCAGGTAGTGACTCTAAATTACAAGACAAACGAGTCAAAGTTTTATTTCGTGTATCTGGCTATCCTAGGTGGTAACATGATGGGCCATTTTCGATAAATCAAAATTCTAACATGGCTCCGAGGCCGGGGGAAATAGAACAAAATAAATTAATCTTTCATCCCTTAACCTCGATTCGATTTTTTTTGGTTTTATTTTCCCAGGCCTCAGAGCCAAGTTTGAATTTTGATATATCGAAAATGGCTTATTTAACGACAGTGACCGAAGAGTTATTCGATAATTTTCGGACACCTCTCAAAGTCCGTAAACTCATTTGAATTACAAATAATTTCTTGAAGTTAATATTCATATTTTCGATCAGTCTTGCACGTGGAAAGAGCGTAAGAAGTTCAAGACATTTCAGCGTCTTTTCTAGCTTCTACAGGGCTACAAAACACATCACTTCCACCGTCATAATCTCAGATATGGTCCGTTTTGTCGAGTTCTGCGTGAGTTTCTTTCTTCGTTCGAAGTTGCTTAGTAAGGTGGCTCATATTCCACGTCGCAGATTGATGAATGCTATCCGTCTCCAATTATCTTGAGGTACATTACCTAAATATAAATGCATATTTCATAGAAGTTCAGTATCTCGTCGTTGCCTTCGAAATTAAGCTAAAATTGCAGATTCGGACACAATAAGGAAAAGCATACCATACCAACTACAGCCGCCATGACAGTTCTTACTACGCCACGTGATTTAATGAGCAACACTGACAATTTTTTGCTTTAAGATCAGTTTATCAATAGTGTAATTATTTATCGCTTTTTCAGTTGATTTCAATACTCGTTTTTATTCTACATTCAGTCACTTTTGCTTACGGTATGTCAAATTAAGACTTGCTATGAACGCGCCTGTTGCTTTCCTGACACCCAATCACCACCGCAAAGTCCAATGGGTGATCGTGAAAAGGTTTCGAAGTAAA